AATATTTTGTTCAAAGGTGATGATATCGGACAGGAATTGTTAAATTACGTTTTAAAGAGTAATAATCTTCAAATAGCTTCAATAAGAGCATTTTTTATGAAAACATGTTGTCAATATACTCTATGGCTAACCGTACATAGAACTAGCACTATCGACACAAATAATATCTTCTAATGTGCCATATTACTTTTCGACACTATTGAGCTGGTTTTGACCGGCATGCATATCTAGCTTCTCTGCATATACAGCCATATATTACATTAATTATTAGATCAATAGTTGCTAAAACTGAAAGCTTAAAAAACAATTAAAGTAATTACTCAGATTACGAATAATACCAGCAACAGAGTATGACATTTTCCAGACTAGGGACAGATTGACACACATATCAGTTGTAATCTATTTAATTCATTGAAAGGTTTACTTGAAATACAGCATTATTAATCGAGCCTCTTTTCCCTATACTGAAAGGATAGGGTGTAGAAAAGAAAAATCACCTGTGTCTGTCTGTCTGTAACAATTGGTACCCGTGACCAAAAAATGGTACAAAGGACCGTATCGATGATATGAATAACCACAAGTCTGACCATTTGTACCATGACTTTGGTCACCTGTACTATGGCTGTGGTCATTGTTACCATCAGTGTAGTCACTTGTACTAAATATTACAGAGGAACAGGCAGACAGACAGACACAGGTGAATTTTCGTTTCTCGACCAGTGTCTCAGACTAGGGTCAAGCAAATCGACCGTCGATGAGAGTTATTTATCATTTATTACGTATAAAATTACAGAATATGAGTAATATTTTTGTAATAAAAATGACAGTATATTATATTTAACTAAAGGTACCTCTATTACGATCAAGTTTCTTCTTATTTGGTAGAGTCCTATAAGGGCAAAGGTCGTCATATTTTACAGTACTCAATAAGTTCTGTCATACCTTATTTTGCTTTATGGAAATCATACCTAATAGCATAATAGAAACTTACTACTGTTGATGTGCACTATGATTCAACACTGACAAATATCATGGCCCATAAAACAAAACATGATCATTCAAGAAGTAGATTAGTTCTTTTTTACGGTAATATATCAGATAGTTCAATAATAATCACAATATTTGTAGTATCATAAGTCATTCAGAAGACTAAATAAGGTAAAAATTGATTCGACATCCACATTGAATGACAAAAATTTAACTAGTTAAGTCATGACGATGTTCTCATTCTTTCTTGAATTAACAAAAGTTTGTAAGCGCAACTCCTTTGATGCTGAAATGTGGAACTCACATATTTCACATATACTTGAATACATAACGACCTTGAAACTACGTAGTTGCTATGGTCTGTAATGGGAGAGGAGGGGGCACCGCAAAATTTGACCTTAAAACTTACATTCACAGTTTTCGAAAATAGATGTGAATTCCATACAAAAATACCACAAGCGAAAGGTCCAAAATGATAAATTGTTTTTGAATCGGGACTATGTGCATCATGTAGATTCTAATGAGCCATTAACAGTCTGAGAAGAGTTTTGCTTATTAGCTTATTGATGCCAAAAAACTGTATTTTTTCAGTACTTCTCAAGAGAATGTTATGGTTGCGGTTGAGAACATGAATCTTGATTTGCCACGTATAGTCCGGACTTCAAAACAATTTATCAATTGAGGGTTTTCTTTCGTCAGTGGTATTATGTAAGATTATTATGCATCTACAAAAAATATTTTAGATTTTCCAGTAGGAACCTTTTCTTTCCATAATTCAGTATTATATGAATTCATTTTTATTGATACTTATGAGAAAACAATTATATTCTTACTCTTTAGATACGACTTGTTGAAACGATCGATGACGGCATTTTACGAGCAGCGTTTTCATTATTTGATATGGTAAAGAAACCGATTCATGCTCATCAACTATTCTATTGTGCGAAGCGAACTACTTGGATGGAAATTCGTGCATTTATTTATAGATGCTTCTTTTCTAAGAAATATCAAGTACTTATTCGGCCTGATTTACTTCCATTATTAATTCAAGATAAATTTCTTCCATTGCTTAATAACTTGATAGAAGATTATCCAACACGTCCTTTTCGATTAGGTATAATTACAACAAAAACTGCTTCTCACATACAGTTAATTAATGCAATTAAGACTCGCATTAATATTAACATATTACATGATCAAAAACTTTTATGCAAAGATGACCTTACTTCTCAAATTCAGAATTTACTTCATCAATGCACAATAGTCACATCTCGTCTATCTGGTTCGGGTAAATCACAATTCATTGAGAAAGAAAGTCATCGACTGGGTAAACAGCTTATCAAATTTCCCATTGGTGGTGATATAAAAGCGGATGAGATAGCCGATCGACTTCGGATTTTACATGATAAATCATTAAAAACATCGATTCTACATCTTGATATTGGACACGTTGAGAATGTGTATGATCTCGATGAATTATTGTATTGTCTCACACTTTTTCGTAGTTTTTGTTTTGGTCAATCGGCTGTGCATGTACCAAGTGAAACACTCTTTTACATTGAACTTGCTTCATCTCCTTACATTAAAATAAATGAACGTCTTCTATTATGTCAATATCTTAAGCCTGTTTATCTCAATGAAGTAAACTGGGATGAACTCGACTGTAACAGTCCAAGGATTCAATTTGTCGCCAAATATCTGAATGCGATTGATACAAGTACAATCACAAAAGAAAATATTAAATTAGATGATGAAAAAGTAATCGATCGTACAACCTGTATGACATTAATTCAGAAACATTTTCTGCAAAATAAAAATCTGGAATTCGTCACATGGACACAATTATGTGTTTTTATGTCAGTATTTTATTCTCTCTTTAATGGATTTTCTATCTGTGGTTACTTTCTTGTTGAATTTGTGGACCAACCTCAATTACGACTAGACATTCTTCAAGCACTTCTTCGTTCTTCAAATCAATTCACCTCAGTATCTGTAGAAAAGGTGCGACAGCAACAACGCGCTAGTCTAATTGATGACCCAGAGACTCATCAACCAGAGTTGACTGATGCAATCGTTCGTTGGGAGAATACTCAACCGTTTACACTTGTTTTTACAGCAACTCATGATCCTTTATTTGTTTACAAAACAATCAATGATATACCACAATCACTTCGGAACTATTTCAATGATTTTCAACAGATCGTTTCTCAGCGAACGACTCAGAAAGCTAAGAGTACTATTACACCATTAAATAACACTGTTGATAACATACTTTCTGATTATAACAAACTTTCACATGTGGAATTATTTCAAAAGCTTGCTTCATTATCATACAAATATTTCAACAAGGCTGTTTGTATTAAATGTTTTAAACAATATCCGTACAAAACACAACAATGTACACAGTGTCATACAAACGAGAACATTCTTCGACCAGAAACTCTCGATAATTGTGATGTCTTAGTGTTTCAAACCAAGATCGCCAATTTACTTGAAGCCGAATATGTTCTCACTCCCGACAACTATGTTAAAATGTTACTAATCTATATGCGTATACAAAGTGGTCTTCCAGTATTGATTATGGGAGAAACAGGTAAATCTCTTGTTATTTATGTTGTTCAAAGGCATGTTACATAATTTATGTAAACAAATAATTCGTAAAACAAACTTTTCTCATCATAAAATGTTCTTTTTTATTTGAAATTTTGTTTGATTTACCAATAATTTAGTGATAATGATTTATCGAACATATACGATAAAAATTCTCTCAATAATAGAAATAGAAATTTGAAAAATACGAAAATTCAGGAAGTGGAAGCAAACTATTCCGTGATATACAAGTATTTTAAAGAGAACCTGTTGGATTTACTATATCTTAATGACACTTACGGTTATACCAAAAATAAATCTACCATTTAGCTAAGTATTTTAAAACAAGACTTCTAGTCATCACAATAAATCCATAGAGTATGAATATGAAACTAGATTTTTCTTTGTGAGCGAATCTTTCTCTTATTGTTCTCGACTAACCTATTTGATATTATGAAAGCAATCACATTGAAAATAATTTGTTAAATATTGTCTTTATAAAATATGAATACAATTATATATGTTTCTTTGATTTTTTTAGGTTGTGGTAAAACAGCGTTAATTAATTTTTTGTGCCAAAAGATTCTTGACGATGAACTGGAAATATTTAGAATTCATGCTGGAGTGACTAGTGAGAAAATTATTGAGACAATGCAACGATTGATAATCAAAGCTGCAATATGCGCACAGGAGGCAAAACGTCTTTGGATATTCTTCGACGAGTTCAATACGACATCGAGTATCGAATTACTCAAAGAGATAACCTGTGAGCGTACACTTTTGGGTGATTCCTTACCAGGTAATATGGTCTTTCTTGGTGCATGTAATCCACGTCGACATAGGAGTAATGAAAAGTGGATGTCGTTTGAAAATAATATTGGCATAAAAAAAGACCGGTATGAAATGATGAAAAAACTCTCCGATGGTAAATGTTTATTATATACAGTAGTACCTATTCCAGAGACTATGCTAGAATATATATGGGATTATGGACATCTCGACCAAGATACAGAACGAGTATATATACAAACAATGCTTAAAACATGTCCTTCGTTAGTGAAACACGAACAATTATTTAATGCATTCGTTCCACTCGTATCTCAATCACAACTATTCATGCGCAAAATTGAAGATGTTAGCAGTGTAAGTTTGCGAGATGTTACTCGATTCTGTCGTTTGTACAATTGGTTTCATGGGTCGATTAATATACGTTCTACTAATTCATCTCTTCCACCACTGAATGTTGCTCGACGAGCTGCTTTTGCAGCTCTCTTCTTATGTTACTATTTTCGATTACCTTCTGTTCAGTTTAAATATCAATATGTCGACATGCTCGAAGAAAGTTTAACAAAGTCTTTTTCCTTGGTACTAATGGAGAAACGATTTCTTATTAAACAGCTTGAAGCAGAAGAAAATGAGTTGATAGACGAGATGGAACTACCCAGAGGTACAGCTAAAAATCGAGCTCTGCGCGAAAATATATTTGTTCTTCTTGTATGTATTGTTAATCGAATTCCTGTAATTCTATGTGGAAAACCGGGTTGTAGCAAAACATCCGCCGTGCAAATCGTTATCAGTAATCTCAATGGAAAAAAATCAAAGAGTTCATACTTCCAAACATTACCTGAACTCGTTACAGTTTCATATCAAGGCTCACAAAATTGTACATCTAGTAGTATTGAAAAAGTATTTGAACGAGCTGGTAAATACCAAAAGGCTGAATCAGATAGTCAGCTTCTACCAGTTATAGTTTTCGACGAGATTGGTCTAGCTGAACTCTCACCACATAATCCACTTAAGGTACTTCATGCTGAACTCGAAGTTGAAACATGTCAATACGGATTTGTTGGTATATCAAATTGGCGCTTAGATGCATCAAAAATGAATCGAGTACTTTACATAAGTTGTCCCGATCCAGATATTGATGATCTGAAAATAACTGCTAAATCAATTGCAGATGGCATGTTACGTGAACAATTAGCAGTACCTAACTTAGATTCAATTCTTGACGGTTTAGCTAAAGCCTATTATGAACTATTCGTTTCTCTTAAACTACAGCAGCAGAACGAATATTACTTTGGTCTACGCGATTTTTATTTTTTAGTTAAAGGTGTTTTGAATGAAGCAAATAATACCATGACCGAAATTGTTAAAGATTTATTTGCTGTTGTACATCAACAGATGAAAATTAATTTTGATGGTATTATAGACGGGTCAAGTTTTATGTGGAAAATCTTTTGTGAAAGTCTTAATCATACTGAGCTTATAAATCAATATCCATTGCCAACTTTTAAAGATCTTCTTAATCGTCGTATTGAAACACATTCGGGTCGTTTTCTAATGATAATTGGTAAGAGTGAAAGTTCATATGATTATGTTGAACGATATCTTCGTTCGATTACAAAATGGTTGCCGATACATGAACATCCAGTACGAACATTAATCGGTAGTCAAATGCCAGGTGATCTTATTTTAAATAAAACTTACACCGAAACTTATAGTTACAGAGTACTTATGGATATTATTCTCCATGTAGAGACAAATGTAACATTACTTATGCGACAATTAGGTCATCTTCATGATAATCTATATGATTTATTTAATCAAAACTTTGCTGTGTCTGCAAAAAAACAATATTGTCGAATTGCACTTGGTGCTCTTTATCATCCACGATGTCTGGTGAACGACAACTTTTTTTGCATTGTATTTGTTAATCAAGACGAAGTTGAAAAGTGTGATCCACCATTTCTCAATCGATTCGAAAAACATATTATTGATATTCAAGATCTAGTACAGCCTATTCATTGGCGAATAACTCAAAGTCTTCTCAGCTGGTTAACAGATCTTTTGCCATCGGGAGATAGTGTACGCTTTCCATGTCTTCAACATTTATTTATCGGTTACAATCCTGATTACGTATGTAATTTAGTGATTGATACTAGTGACGAACAAGGTGTAGGTGAAAATGTAGATCAACAAAAAGTGATAGAAGCATGTAAAATTAAGATACTGCGCTGTTCTTCGTTTGATTTACCACTTGTTCTTGTTACTCAAACGACTGTTGACGAGAAAAACCAAATTCTTATTCAACAGTATTATCAATTTCATGAACGGAAATCATTTGCCGATGTGTTTCCTCAACACCGAGGAAAACGTTTACATTCTATATCAAGATTAACTCCATTCACCACAATACTTTGTAGTGTTGCTAAAAAACAGATTATTTATACTTATACACAAATTTATGATACAATCATTTATGATCCAAATATTGTTAATGAAATCAAATTAAACAATTTACAAACAGAACTGGAAGTAATAAATAAAGTAAAAGCGCATTTTTTAAAACAAGATAGTTCACGTATTTTGATTATACGTATTGACTATCTTACAGAACATAAGCAACTTCTTTCTCTTAAACATATTTTACTTAATGCGATCGATGATGAATCTAAAGAACCATCTGATCATTGTATTTGGCTTGTTATTCATTTACAACGCAATATGCTTGGCGAAGCAAAAAATGATGTTTTGTTTCATGGCTGGCAAGTCGATATGATAGACGATCTTAATACATATAATCCTATTTCAATCGAAAATTTAATGAATCCATCATATTACGATTTGATTACTCAAGAGCCGTTTCAATTGTCTGAAAATCTATTCAATGAACTTGTTAATCGAACGTTATCAAAGTTTCGGTATGAAGTAACTAACAACCAACTAGAATCAAGAATTAATCAACGACGAAACATTATCACTGATTGTCTCATACAAGATAATCAATCCGAACTTCGAACTTTGATTCGAGAGAACTTGTTCATACTCGTACAAACAATACATCATGATAGAATCGACAAGCGTTTTTCAGATTGGCGAAAAGATCTTCTAACGAATGGACTAATTATTGCAACTTGTTGTTCCTTCAGCGAAGCCTTGCAAGCTACAATCGTTCAATTTTATGAAACATATTTTTTACTCTTGTTTGCACATTTAGAACGAAATTCTTTCTTTGATTCCTATCAATTTCTCCAAGAGCAAGATGAATATGAGCAAGAACTACTCAAACGAATTTGGGATACTTGTTTAACTTCGAGCCTAAAGAACATTGATCGAAATGTCATGAACTGTGATCATGTTGAAATACCGTTGGTGTTCAATTTACGACTCCCATGTACGGTGACCGAATATACAGTTGTACGACGAATATGTAACATTTTATCAAAACAACAGTCAGAAAAGGACATAACTCTAGGAGATTTTGAGCAACGATTTTGGCATAAGCTAAATGATAAAACAATCTATGGAAAAAAATTACTCAATAAAATTTTCGATAATGATAAACTATTTGAACATTATTATCATGATCAATTGTGCTTTTTTCTTAACGAAAATAATATTCAATTGACAAGCAATTTTGTATTTCAAATGACTTGTACAAATCCAACTCGTTCAAACAAAACACGTTTTCAATCATTATTGACGAATTGGGAAGAAGTGATTCAAATATGTCGAATTTTCGAACTTGGGGCTTCGTTAATTGGTGAAGATTCTTTACTCAATGCTTGCATGAAACAGTTTATAAAAGTTGATGATGATCAATCCCATGTTCATGCAAATAATAAGAATAGTTTGTATACATTAGTACTTTCTAAAGAAGGTTTTGCTCAAATCGAGCCTGGAAGCTATGAATTAAAATTAATAAATAACCCAAATGATAACCGAGATTTATTTATTGAAAATAGTCTTATGAATCTTCTTAAAATTCTTCAGAAACCAAAATATGTACGGAAAGTTGAATCTCCCAAACAATTGATAACTACGTATAATCTTATTTATCATGGTATTCGTACATTGACACACTATGAGGTTTATAATCTTGAAAGATTTAGTTCGCACATAAGTCTAATTCGATCAATTACTGCTCTTTTCGACAATCAATTCGCCGCACAAATCATCAAACAGATGTATGTTGATGATGATGCCGCTAATTTTAACTCTTGTGATTTGATTCATACATTCATTGAACGATTAACAAAAACTATTGAAACAGAAGAAGATCATATAAAAGCAGACAAAGCCACTGTTCAACGTACACTTCTCAAACTTGAAATTGAGTTATTAAAAAATTGGCTTTTCGATCATGGTGATCAATATGTTGATGTTCTTATATTGATTAACCATAATGATACCGATCTCTGGCGATATTCGACAAAGATCTTCTTGTATATTAATCGACGTTTGGATTTAACAGAATGCATAGAGAAGCATCATGGTCAGATACCAATCGATAATAGAGATTTCAAAAAACTCGAGAAATTCTTGAAAAAATTGGTCGATCAACCATCTAAAATTGAACGGCTTTTACTCAATCATCTCCATACAAATCTAATTCTATCGATAAGTGAAAAAGATTTCGAAAAAAAATTAAGAGAAGAATATACATTTTTTGAAAGAAATATGCATGAAGTAAATGAGCATCTTACCAATGGACGGCATCGTGTTCGATTGATAGGTCTCATTGTGTGGCTTAAATATTATGCGCAAATATATGCATTTGTCCTTCACAATGATTCACATCAAGAATTTATGTCGAATATCGATCGTTTTTTAGCTCGAGATGAGAGTTCATTCGGTGCGACTCTAAAATTATTTATTCTCAAACAACTTGTGCATATGTCGAAGAATGTAACATTAATAGATGTACGAGAATTATTTGCTCATCGTAATGTCGCGTGGTTACGACCATTACTGATGCGTGTTGAACCTATGGCTATAAATCGTGATCTGATTCTACCTTTGCCTCTATTTGAAGGACATGATGAATATTTAATAGTCAATGAAACTCTAAACAATTTCGGTAATATCGGCGAAGTGCAAACTCTGATCAAAAAGTGTCGAAATAATCAACAATTGACATATGGGTTTTACTCATGGTTTATTCAGTACTACTGTCGTTATCTTGCACCAAACATACAGATAGATCAACGGTTCATACAGCTATTTGGCGTTGATTTGAAACAATTATTAATTGATTCTTTCGAGCTAATTGGATTTAACCTACTTACGTTTCTATGCAGTAATTTTCCTGCTGATTCCTATTTTTATTTACAACCAACTATGCCAAAAAAAGAAATATATAATCGTTTACTTGCTCTTAATATTGTCGCTCTTTGTTTATCGACAAAAAGCTGCCCAAAAGCAACATATTTAGGAGCATTGCTATTCGATCAAAAGCAACATATGCCTCAAAACTATGTTAATCACATTCAGTCTATATGTTTGATGGGTATGATTAGTAGTGATCCAGTGATAACACAAATGATCGATGTGAGAACACAAGTACAAGACCGTCTTAATAAGAACCTAATTCTCACAGGTGGAATGTTCGTTTTTCAATGCTCTCGTGACTGTCACTGGATGTTTTATTTTGAGAATTGTGGAGTTCCAAACGATCACGGACAATGTCCTCTGTGTAAACGAGAAATCGGTGCTTATAATTATAGCCAGTTGATTCAGCGGGATCCTCCGCAAATCCAGATGAATTTACAGGATGGTTTTCGAGTAATAGAACAGTATATGAGAAATTACAATAGTGTATTAAGATTAGGGTATCATAATGTACTACCCGCTATGGAACTGACACCAGATGAAAAGCCTGATCATTTGAATCGAGCTATTTCCTTCAGATTTCTTCACATGTGGACACATACCCAACTACTTGTCTTGCATGAATTGAAGTGCTTAACTGATGATGATCTTCTTCAGAGATTAAAAGTGCCTGATATTTTACATTTTCGTCAACATTTTGAAAGAGATTGTAGGTTCATGGAGGAAGTATCGACGGAACCCGAACAGTATCATGTATGGTTATTCAAGCTCATTAATCACATGCTTGACAAAAATATTGATGTTGTTGGCATTCTGAATACAAATAAAAATGTAGTCGAAATTGAACAAGTAATTGAGCAACGAGTAATCTTTCCTCATCTTGACTCAATTATAAACGAAATTGGAAATTACCGCATGGCATACGTTGATTTTGTTCAAAAATTTGACGCAGATATTTCATTGAGCAACTATGTCGATGAGTTACGACAAAATGATAAACGTTATCCATTACTTCCATACTTTAACGTAAGTCGAATTCTAACAACCAATCCGCTCGATGAATTTCGTGTAAAAATGCAAACATTACCTTTTGGTGACAATATGTATCCTTTGACGACATTTTTATTAAAACGTCTTGATGACTATGCCAACATTCGATATTTATACCCCATTATGGAATTTGCCAAATATCTTATTAATAAATACAATCATCGAATTCAACGAAATGATGCAGCTACCATGACGATTGACGATGTGCTTCAGAAACGAGATCTCGGTAACCAAAACATGCGTATTCTTTTCGATCAATTCATCGATGCTTGGTATAAGATAAGTCTAACTAAAGTTCGTCATGGATGTCAAGAGCGTAAGTTCGAACGACTATATCCTCGTGAAGAATTTGCCAGTAAAACAAGTTTGGCTTGTGTATTGGTAAACAAATCCAAAGATGATAGTAGCTTGTTGTTAACTGCTTGCATACATACATTAGCTGAATTACAAAATGAAATTGTTGGATATTTTCGAAAAGTAGTCGTCAATGAAACAGCATCACATACGCGTGTTTTTCTGAATGCAATTAGACCTGAACATTTACTTCAGCTTGGAGAATCGGAACTTATTAATAAATTAGTAAAAGATAGCTTTGTTATCAATTATGAATATGGTCAAGGACGTGATTTAATCTATGATTATGAGGAAATTGAAATGGAAATGCGTAATCTTGTTAGTAGTCTTTGTTTATTTGCTGTCGATAATATACCCATGTTAAGTTATCAATTTGAATTGTATAATGAGAATATCTCTCTCATTACTAATATTCGACGACGAATTCCTCAAACATCATTATCTACAGTTGATCGAGCAAAATTGAAAAGTTTACTTGTTCGAATGAATCACTATGAAATTGTTCATAGTCTAGGTTTATTGGATAATATCTTCACATATCTATGTAATATTGATGATGATTTATCGAACATTAACATACAAACATTTGTTGAACAATACATGAACACTAGTGCATGTCTCAATGAAGATATTTTCCGGCGACCACCATTTTCAACGATTCTACTCATTAACATAATTGCTTTATATGAGCTGATAGAGGAAGTAGCATTTGATATTGTACTACGTAAACATGTCAAATCAGAACTACGTGAAGCAGTACTTAATGATCAAAGTAAAAAGAAATTTGTTACTCAAACTTTTGGTAAAGACAATATTTCGCCAACACTGAAATCACCAATCGTATGGATTGGAGTACTTAAAAGGCTACTGATTCGAGTACTTAATGCTTATATTGATCTAAAAATGCCTTTGCAAATATATATAGAACGTATCGATCTCTGGTCTGCTGACATTTCTGAGAATGATTTGCAAACGTTTGAGCTCGATGACGACATTCTACTTGAACATACATATTGTATTCTTAATCATATAGAAAAATACCAACTAATAACAATCACAAACGATTCCATTACTACTACTGATAGTCAACAGCTGATCGACTTACACATTACCACTGATGATAATACGCAAAGATTTAATGCAAGAACTTGGTACTCAGATATGAATCAACCTGTTAAAAAAATAATACTTAGCAAATCATCTGATCGATTTGAACGAAAACTACGCGTATAAGCTCATTTTATTTTTAACTTACATTAATAAGCAAGGAGTTGTAATTTTTATTTTAAAAACAAAAGGAAAAAACTCATGCAGTTATTTCTAAAGACAATGAATACTATCGATAGAAATTGAATGGCTATGCAAGAGTTTCTTTAAACTATCTCAGAAACGATGAAGAAAGCTATTGTTACAATAATCATTCTTGTTTCATCAAGGATGACTATGATTACAGTCCTCATTTCTACCTCCACTTAAAACAATCATAAATCGATGTTTAGGGTGTGGGTGCGGGATGTGGATATGGGGGAGTGGGGATGGGTGGATGTGGTTTAAGAACCGAGACATTCACACCCTTTTCGTCCATTCTCCGTGTGAATGTTTTACTGTTGCTATTTGCAGTCTTTATCAACAGAGTGCATATTTGAAAAGAATTTAAAAGAACAGAAAAAAAGAGGCAAGTAGACAGAATCGGAGTAAAAACTGTTGCGATGCTGCACAACTACAGGCAGAAATCATTCGAAAAGAAACAAGCAACTTGTACATTGCGCAAAAAAAATGTTCGCAATAACAAAGCATTATTGAAGGTATCCAGAACTGTGGTGAGTAAATTATTTGAAAGATTCGAAAAGTAAGAGAAATTATTGATAAAAATATGACATTGACAACCATCTTCGACTTCAGTTGAGTCAATTGATTCTTCAATGCATATAAATAACTAATCGTGTTCACCAACTTATTTGCCGTTTTTTCTAATTAGTTGGATCTTTTGCTTTCGATAGATTCTATGAATTTATTTCTACGTCAGAGAATATATCTGCCTCTCTTTTTTATTCAACTCTATTTATGTATTTTCAAGTAGTAAAGAGGTAAGAAACGAAAATCAATATTAGTAATGCTGAGAATTTGATGATGCCAGGAACATACAGAGCATGGAAATAATGGTAAACTTTTGATGTCAGTAAGAGTAATGATGGAAGAGTTTTAAGTAGGAACACAATTTGCTTCAAAACTATCTGAGCATGATAGTCACCGCGCAATGTATGAAGATCGAGAAAGAAACCTTCTAGGCTCCGTAAAATATGCACATGAAGGCAGAAAATCTCTTTTTCACGTAGAACTGTCACAGAGTTAGAAGGATAATCGTTGCTACTCATAGTAATGAGTGCCGAGATGAGTATATCTGTGAATCCCCATTTCACCCCCTCCCCCCACACCCACACTGGGTATCACTTGGGTCTCAATAGGCAATCTGCAGCAGGACGTCACTCGAATATACTGATAAGGTTATACGCACTCTCACCTGTCTAATAGAATATTATTCTATGAATTTCATTATTAAGAAATAAAACCGAACCTACCGGTATATTGGTAACAGATTCGTTGAGAAAAATAAAATACCAGTAAAGTTCTTAAAATCACAGGCCAAAAGGTGTTTGAAAGAAGTGAGTCAAGGAGATATTGTTTATTGGAATTTTCTCATAGATCTTAAGAATAGAAACAATAAAATGAGTCGTTTGCGGTCGAGCAATAAAAGAATGTTTCACATTTGTTTGTATCTTTTCAAGTTGGCTGCTATCCATTCTGTCCTAATAAATCATGAGCACCTTTTCGTCTGTCAATGGAAAAAGGAACCATATAATGATGTCTGATGCTTGCAAAGGTGGACAGAACCTTGTCTATGAAGTCGTCGAGCAGTTAAAGAATGGAAATATCCTGGTCTGGATGGATATTCGTGATGGACTTGGTGGAATCGTTAATGACGGGTGAGTAAAGTAACAATCGAGCAGGACGATGCTGGGCTTTTTATTAAGCATGGTAGAAGCTGTAGACAACAGTGCTGCTGTGTATTTTTTCATGACGCAAAAGTATCAAGACTCAAAAAACTGCAAAAAGAAGCTACAATACGCTGATAGTTTAGAAATAGCGCTAATAGCGTGTCGCTGCAGTGCCAGTTTCAAACCTTCTGGATGGCTTGGTATTATATCTGCTGGCTTGAACTGGTATGATTTTCGAGATTTATCGGATAAACCAGGGAATGCAACAATGAACAAATTAATCAATTCCATACAGACAAGTATTCTGAAAATCGCACCAACAGTATTTCCTGGTGAGTAAAGAGCCCTTCTGTGTCTAGAACCTAGGTGAAATCTTGCGAGGGTGTGGGTGTGGGTGTAGGTCTCTATGTGATTGAAGGAAATATAAACACCAACATTCACACCTACACCCACACCCATACTCACACCCTTGTGTTGAGCCTTTCATGACACATCTTTCAGAAAAGAATTCAAGATCCTATCATTGTGTTTAACCGATATGTGTGCAAAATAAAAAAAAAAGCCTGTCAAAAAGCTCAGGGAACCAGTTTGCTGGCAAAATCGACCATAGAAAAGTTTTTTGATTCGGAACTCCAATCATCATATATAGGATGAAAGAGTTCGATCGGCTGAGCATTTTATGCGACGGAACTGGGTACTTCAAAATTGAACGTGAAGAGTTGTGAGCAGGTCAAGTTCCAGAATGCCTCGAAATTCACAGGTTGACTGATTCAGAATATTCATGTTGAGTATGGAAAAACTATCAGGGCTGGTTAATACAGTTAATAGGGATCTCTGTATACAGTTCTTGTGGAACTTTTCACGGCGCATCTTTCTACAAAAGAATCAAGATGTTATTATTCTCTGAAGCAGAGATATATGCAAAATAAAAAATATTGCAAAACTTTTGGCCCACCCGGTATTAATCATCAATCTCATACGAAACAGATCTTTTCGCTTCTATCTTTTTTTTACTAAAGATTTGTTCTTCATCATTTCAGAGTTTTTTGTTTTTATTATGAAGAAAATAATTAAGCCAAAACACGAACATAAAGCAATAAACATAGATAATTGGAGTCATGAATGACACGTTGCTGACTCGAATCATCCTTGTAGGCAGATAGAACTGATAAACCATTCCCAGTTTGGTAGCTTTAGATATATAAAATAAAACAGAAGTATACAAACATCATGCTATTGTTTAAGAGCCGTACCAGAGATGGCACCGATGCCTGTTACCGGCCGGTCAGCGGTATAATAGTCATTGCTGATCTATCTTATTTTTACTTTTTTGCGGCCATTATCACATAAAGGATGTGTAACGACCCTTGCTTGAGACTAGACTATATTAGATATCATCATCCCGAGATAGACTCGGTGTGGACAAGCAATCGATACGAATTTTAGACTGGTTGATTACCGGTAGACCAGCCGATCTGACTTAGTTAGACTGGTACTGATACCCGTCGTCAAAAATCTAGACCGGCTCCATCTCTGAGCCGAACACGCTGATCATTCTACAATTTCATCAACAAATAGCTGATCTTTTGTTTATTTTGCGACTTTCTTAATGGTTTTTTTTCTAATTAATACCATATCAGGATATAGTTCCCCGGCGTCTAGAAAACGAAAAACAAAAGATGGATTACCATTGGTCTGGATAATCGCACTTATTACATTACAACCAAGTAAATAATATGAGCTGTTTTATTCTCAATAACTATATTTTTGATGACAACCATTCATTATCAATATCTTACTTTCTCTTGAATAAAATAAGAATACTCTGAGAATTTTTTATTTAATCAAATAATAAAATTTACAATAAAGGAAAATACGAGTAAACTTCTTGTGGATACACTAATCTATCTTCAGTAATTAATTGTTTTATATTGGCACAATTACGTCGTGTTACATCCCG